GGGTGAGAGACCGAGAGACCAATCTAGGGCAAGGGCAGATTGGGCGCCGACCTCACCCACCTGTGGTCCTCAGGTGGCTGTAAATTGTGTTAGGAGGATTAGAATTCAATGGCAAAGCAAATGCATTGTTGCTGGATGACTTATGATCCAAAGACTGGCACGCAGATGAGAAAACTTACATGATCTTGACCTCAGTGGGGTCGAGCTTGGGAGCTGTTCACAAAGGGGGAAAATCAGTCGCCGGTCGCCATGTCATTATATGACAGCCAAGGGGACGATACTTACGCATGGCGAGTGCGAAAGGTAGTCAGTCTGCCTTGGACGGTTGTCGAGCTGGTTGGGGTTATCAAACAGAATGCTCATGAGCGGAAGTTTGGTGGAATGTTTTGTCAAACTCATTGACAGGCTAGCTAAGCGAACCGCTTTTGGAAATTTAGGGCAAACCCTCCCATACATCACGTGATATAAAAGTTAAAATGTTCACTGAATGCGCTTTGAACTCCATTTATCATGCATGACAAGACGGAGACAATCAAAATAAAAGTCTTTGCAAAAAAAAAAAAAAAAAAAAAGAAAAAAAAAATCAAGAGGCTCCGCTAAGGAGGAATATGCATTACGGCCGAGCTATAAAGGTATGAATACTCATTCTATTGGTGGATTACCACCGAACTACTGGGAGCCTTGTTCTCCAATAACTCAACTTGTACCCGACACAGCCAACCTGATATTTCAGTCAACATCCTCGCCCAACCACCGTGAATTACAATTACAGGATGAGGAAGGGTTCTTGGGAGTGGACTTACTTCATAAGATGATCCATGAATGTCTGGAGCGAAACATCATCTGTAAAGATGGTTTGTGCAGACTGAGCCATTCCACCATAACCCCCAGTCGAGTGGGTGGTCGACGGGTTCAGTTTGGAGAGCAAGAAACGTGCCTGAGATCCACCTGCATCGCAAATAATGAAACGGGGTAGCGGGAATCGGTCCTGGATAAGTTCCTGCAAAAAAATAACGGCGATGTTAGAGACTTCTCAACTACAATAATCCGAGTTACAGAAAGAAGGGGGAGAATAAGAAACTAAGTTAAATCTTACCCTAGCGTCTTCCTTGGGTTGGTCGAGAATAGTCTTAAAATTCTCATAGCCTTCCTGATCTTGGTAGCCCGCCTTCCGCCACGCTGCCATGGTTTCACCATGGAAAATGAGGATATGGAAGAACGTATCGAGAAGAAGAATATGCGTGGGCTGAATAGAAGCAGAATCAAGCAGAACTGGTTGACTGCCTTCCTGCTCCAGGGAATAGGAGTCAAGGGTAGGCTGGATCATGACGAGTGAATTGCCAACATCCTCATGATTGAGAACATGTCTGTAGAACGCAGTCTCGTCGGGTGAGTTGTTGAAAACTTGCAAAAACTGGCTTCGACGTAAATGGAACATAAATTGTGGATAGAGGGTGAAGTTCTTCTCCAACCGGAATGAGGTGGGATCATCCTTTCGGTAGTCCGCGAATCGAGAGCAGAGCCTGATGAGCATTCTATCAACCCATCTCAGGACGTCGGGTCCGTCATCTACCTCGGATTTGAAAACTGCGATACGTGACATGAGCACAGCAGCGGCTTCCTGGTCGAAAGATTGAGCCAGCGCAATGTCACCCGCAGGGCTGCTAAGTGTTCTCGCAACGGTAGTGACCCGGAGATGGTACTGTCCGGACGAATGTTGATAATAGGTCAAAAACTGTATCATAGCTCGGTGAGGACCCTGTTGCATCGGAGCCGGTCCGCCCTGATTGGCGATTTCGAAGTACACGCCGAAGCTGGCAGTGGGGTCGATGCCGCACATCTTCCAAGAGCAGGTATTACCAATACCACACTCAGTTTCTCCAACTGAGTTGGATTTCTTGTTCAACGAAACAGCATGGCCAATAAGACCTGTAACCTTCAGCTCCTTGGTAGTGAGCACTTCCAAGGAGGCATTAAAACCCATGAGAAGATTCTCATTTTGGTCCTTATCAAACACTCTGACAAACGACTGCTTAAATTGTGAGGATGTAAAACTATCGGTTAATACCATGTGGCCACCTGTTGAATTTGCCAACCCTTTCATTTCAAGAAGCCCAACTTGATCCAGGCAGCCAGCAAAAATGTCGACAATGTGGCCATTATGAGCAACACGCTTTGCAATACTTTCATAGAACTAGAAAGGAAAAAAAGAAGTCGTTAGTCTGTAATGACCTGAGAAAGTGAAAACCGCACAGTTGCCATACCTTCACGGCCTTCTTGTAATACTTAATGTTATCCCGGTCAATATCATGATGGGATCGCATTGGTTCTTTAAGCTGAGGCCCAACAACAAGACCAGGACCCTCAGTAGCAGGGCCACTGGTGAAAAGCATAATGCGGCCACCGGCGCCTTGGAATGACGTTTCCATCAACCCAACGGCTACACTGAGCGCAACGCCGGTGCATCGCAACGGGCGCTTATCGTTAGCAACTGGCCACGGGTCTCGCTGTAATTGTTCAAGAACGTTCGTAATCTGGAAATCGGCCTGTTGCACTGGTAGTAGGAATCTTGCAGCTGAGGACATGGGGGCGTTGGGGCGGCCAGGTTGCTGAGGCACGTTTGGACGGAGCCCTGGAGCAAGAAGACCAAGCATCTCCTGAACCTGTTTAGCAGCGTAATCTTTACTTCCTCTGAATACATATGACTTGGCGCATTCGGTGTAGCCAATCTCATGGACTTGGGCCTAGATGTATTTTCAAGTAGTCAGCAGCTATCAAAATGAGGCCACAGGAGAGAAAGAGGCTGGGGTGCTCTAACCATTGTGCCGTAGGTAATTAGCCCCACCAATGCATTTGGCGGCAAAAGGGAAAGGCTCATGACAAGGGAATCTTTCACGGCCTTCAAACTATCTTCTTCCTGGCAGGTATCGACTACAAAGAGGAAAATGGGAGGAGCTGGAGCTGGCCGTGCGAGCTGGTATTCGATTGTCGTGCTTTGCGGGTGAAGTTCGGGTGGGGATTGCATTTTCCGTTATGTCTTTTGTAATGCGGAGGCAGCGGGTTGCGCTGGAGACAGAAGGGACATATCCAGATACGAGCACGAATATCGACGTTGCTACATATCCAGGTCAGTCTTCACTCTTGCAGCAATGTGGCACAGAGTACCCTTGGGTGCCAGGTAGAAAAAGTTTAGCATACGCAAATGGATTTAAGAACAGCTCTACATGGCTGTTTGCAAGTAACTGGTTCGTATTTGCAGCAGAGGAGAATCGGGTTTCTCTTTCAACGGTGTATAAATCGCTCCGATGGGTACCACAAGACGGGACGCCTCCTATTTTATGCATTAAATAAAATATTCGCAACGGAAACCAAACCGCAGGAGGGGTCTGCCAACGAACCATGCGCGTGCTTGGAAAGGTATTCCAACTGAGCCTAATCCCATCGCGGTCCTCGACTTCACTCCACTGATCCTTCAATGCCTCGTAATCCATCGTTGCAATGTGACCCGGCGATACTTGGATAGGGGAATGTTAACCTGGGGTAGCGATGAACAACACAGCCTTGGTGTGGAGCGCGCAGCTTAGAGAGTGGTGTTAAGTTTACGTTCAGAAGAGTCTGGCCCCGTACATAATCGTTGCAGATGATGACCAGAAGCACAGGAACGCAGACGAGGGGGGGGTGGTTTGAGAGGGGTGTTTTTGAGTGGGCTAACAAACAGAGTCAAGCTTCGTGATAGTGTTGGTCGTTGAAGCCAGGTTGCAGGATTTTTGGTCTGTGCAGTTCGCCGTAGCGTCAACTTGCCTAGCAACCCGTTGGTTATAAAAACGCACGACGAACTTTTTTTTTTGCTTTTCTTTCCTCTCATCAATAACCACGCCGACTAGCAAATATAATAACACATTACTTACGCCAGCTTCTGTCATCCTCAATGATGTTGCTGTTTTCGCGTCGTGCGGAGAAGGATTAAATGTTAAATAATTTTTTTACCCATGGCTGGGCACCTGGCTTTGAGAGCTCATTCTGATGCTTGACGATGAATTGGGAATCAGCAGTGGTAACATGCTCTATATTTTACTAGTAGCTCGTTCCGTCTTTTCTGTTTCTTTCTTCCGTTTACTTTACAAATTCTACTTAATACGATGATGATTGGAATTGTGTATTGAAAAGTAAATAACGCTCCGCCAATTCGGATGAGAAAGTGAAGAAATCCGCTCGTGCGGCACGTTTAATTCATAATTATAAAGGAAACATAGCCAGCCCCCATTAATCAATCACTCCCAATGAACCAACGCCGGTCATAATGATAAATTACAATCGTACCTCACGATGTCATGTCAACGTCCTCCTTCACAATCTTCCCCAAATTCTTCAACAAATAACTACGCTTGAAATACGTGTTGGGATGGACAATCGTATCAAGATCCGTCTGGCTCCAACTCCCCTCGTCCCGCACTTTTTTGAGCTCCGCTTTATGTACCCATTCGAACACCCGATTACAAGCAATGTGATAGCGAGTTTTCCCCACGTCCTCCCGCACGCCTCGCAAAACTTCTTGATCGTTAACACCTGTCGCCTGGAGTAAGTTAATGAGATTCTCAACCGAGAAATGCCGGTAGGGACATCCGTGTGTTTGGCCAGCCCCGGGTGAATTGTCTGTGAGGATCTTCTGGCATGAGTATGGAGGATATCCACGACCCCTACGATTGGCATCCCCACCCACATCGCCGTACGCGTGGCGGACATTGTATTTGTACTTGGAGTTGAACTCGTCATCGGTAAATATTTTGAAAGATTCCCGCCAGAAGACCAGGGCATCCTCGAGTGACAGGCCGATGCCCTTGAGGAAGAGGGTATACTGCAAGCGGCCAAAATGCTTCAGATGTGAATTTTTGCGTAGCTGCATGTGTAGATTGCGCATGCAAAGTGGGAAGTGTTGGGATAGGGAATCAATGGATGCCGCGGTAATTGGCGCTCCCGGTACTGATCCCTCGCCCTCCGCATAGGAGGAATCAGATGTGCCGAAATTTTTGGAGAGATGCTCTAGAATGGGCGTCAGGCGGTCATCCTCGTCTAGCCGGGGTAATGCTCGACTCGTAAACTACGTAGATAGTTAATAAATCGCACGGCTACTACACGTTTGGAAGATCGAGACGAGTCCCATATTATCCCATACCTCAAGGGCTTTCTCCAGCCTTGCGGTAAATTCCGCTAGAACCATACTCAGCTGCTCTCGAACGGGCACATACGCCTTACCCTTCCTCACAAACACGCCTCTCCGCTCAACCAGCTCTGGCACTTTCTCCCAGTCTACCTTAAACCAGCTCTCATCCTCAAGACGCCTGACACCATAGGTGGATGCCAGCAAGCTTTCGCCGAGTTCATGTTTTTCCTCATCAGAAACCATATCCCAGTTGAAATTGAGGCTTTCGATGAACGCGCGTCTTTCTTTGGAGTCATCCAGTTGGAAGCGGAATTTAAACAGCATGGTCTCCAGACGGGTAAAGCGGCGTCTCAGATCCTCTGTTGAGGAGAAGGCGAGACGCAGGATGAAATGAGAGTAATGATCCTTTTGTCGTTCATTTCGGAGGCGTTGGTCCACACCTGTGCTGGAAGAGGTGTTGGCGGAGAGAGGAAGGAATTTGTTCAGAAGAGGGGTGATATGGGAGGCGGTTTCGGCAGGGGTCTTATTTCTATATGAGCATGCTTCCAGTTCTGCGAGGACTATTGTTTAAACAGTTAGCACCTTCAAACAGAAGTTGGCAAAATACAATATATAAAAAAATATTGCAAATGTACTTCGCAACCTGTCAATAGCCCATTGTTCAAATTGTTCAAGAGTAATTTCCTGAGTTGGGGGTATTTCGTAGAAGTTGAGGCGGTGGGAATAATCATGTTCCTTGTATGTTGGAGTTGCAAACTGTTTTTTCTTATGGTCGATTGGAGGCCGTCGTTTAGGGTCCATGCGAGATCTGTCGTATTGAGACATGGTGACGACGATACGGGATATGGCTGTAGTGGTCTGTAGTTGTAGGTGTGGATTCTGGCGGCCAGACAATCTGGAGTTGCGGAAAGAAATCGCCATTTCGAATGTTTTCGACCGCGTCTGCTTCGGTAACCTTGGGACGTGTTTATTCAGGCCACGCGATCCAAATGGAGGCCCTCTAATCACGTGATAACGAAACTGGTCATCTCATATTGGCGAATAAATACTAGTTTCCAAAGGCCTACGGTTTGCTATAAGTTATCACATATATGAGGAGAGGGCCCGCTACATTACTCTATTCATTGATTGCTGTAATCCACAATAGGGCCATCTTCGAACGTTGGATGGAGTACCAAGGTTGTCCCAAGGTTTGTGCGCAATCATTTGTTCTTTTCCAAACCGAGGACTGATACCCGTGTCCTCAATATGATTCGGCTGATATTGACGATTGCTTCCTTGCTCATCCTTTTTGCACAATTGCTAGCACCCGTGTGCAGCCTGCGCTTTGTATTTGTTCCTTGTTGCGCCCAGTAACCCCCAAGGTCCCGCCGCAACAGGCCAACCTCGGCAGGCTCAACCTTACAGTAACGAAGGCTTCCGGTTGGCTGTGACTGCTGACTAACTCAATTCGGGCTATGAACACCGAAATCACCGGAGCAAGAGTGAGGATTCAACGCCCAGGCTCCGCAGCGGCATTGCTTTTTCCCCTCTGGATACCTAGCATTGATACGTTCATCTAGTCCTAGGCACAAACGCTGCACTCTCGCCAATGTATATTCCTACTTTCTATTGCTATTGGTACTGTTATTATTATTCCGCAGGATGATTTAGATTATCCCCCTCCCTGCCTACGCTATCTGACCTCCTTCGAACTTCGGAATTCCCCTGCTGTCGCCCCTGTTTCTTGACCCCGGATAAAATTGAACTTTATCTCCCTCCGGAGGAATTATGGCTCGCACAGTAAGGCAGCTGAAAAAGGCAGCTCGCATTATCCTTGTTGGGGCCCCCGGAGTTGGAAAAGGGACCCAGACTGAACGGTTGATCAAGAGGTATCCCCAACTCGCATCCATCAGTTCAGGGGACCTTCTTCGAGAGAATGTCCGCAGCAAGACACCACTAGGTTCGTCGTTTTCTTTTGGGGAGGGAGGGGAAGCTCCTCACTTTTCTCCTGTTGTCTTGGCTTTCAATCTGACCGACAACACCAGGCCTCAAAGCGGAATCCACCATTCTCGCCGGAGATCTTGTCCCTGATAACCTCATCCTCGATCTCATATCCTCCGAACTCTCTTCGAAGGGATGGCTCACCGACCCTCCTACTGCCACCAATGCCACCCCAATCCTAAACCCCAACGCCTCCTTCATCCTCGACGGCTTCCCTCGCACAGCAACCCAAGCCACATCCCTCGACAGCTTAATCCCCATAAACCTAGTTGTCCACCTCCTCACACCCCCAGCCATTATAATCTCCCGCATAGCCTCGCGCTGGGTCCACGCGCCGTCCGGTAGGGTTTACAATACCCAATTCAATGCGCCCAAGGAACCAGGAAAGGACGACGTGACAGGTGAGCCGCTGGTGCAGAGGGCGGATGATTCGATTGAGACGTGGAAGCAGCGGTTGAGGAAGTTTGAGGAGACGAGTCGGTCGTTGCTAGAGCATTATGAGAGGCGTGGATGCTTGTGGCGTGTCGAGGGGGAGAGTAGTGATGAGATTAGTCCGAAGTTGTTTGCGGAAATTGAGCGGAGATTTTCGTAAGGAATATGTATATACATATATATATCTACTGGTTTTCATGTTGTTTCTATTCTTGAATGTATTTTTATGCGTCCCCCTTCGTTGTTGGCTGGATAGATTTTGTTTTCGCATGTGTTCGCGCCGGGCCTCAGTTCCCATCCAACCACCCGTTTCTCTTTTAGGACTCTCTCCAGGCTTTCATATGTCCAGAGTATTAATTATCCTTACATCGACATTTTCATAGCTGCTCGTGTACAGTACATGTGCATTCTCTATAACGGCCTACTTGTTAAGATGAATACATAGAAAAGAGCTACCATTCCAAGACCCCCGGAAATCGTTTCCCCAACGAGCGGTGATATTTCATAATCTCGTATAAAAAGGAGATTGTAATATAAAATATAATCAGGGTTTAATAAATCACCAACGCCGAGAAAAAGAAAAGAATAACAAAATGGACGACGAACTAAACCCCAAAACTCCAAGCCGCTCACGCAGGGAAAGAAACAAAAACCATAGTCGGCATATATGCATAACACATTCTACAACGTAGAGCCAAGGGAAAATTGTTCGTTTCGCAGAACCAAATACAAACACTCGTAACCACCCGAAGCCGAAAAGCAAATGGGGAGAATCGTCATTACCCCCCAACCCCCATCCTTACCCGTCTACTTCTTCTCACCCTCCCCACCACCAACCGCAGTAGCAGCAGCCCTCTCCCCATCCAACATCGCCATCCTTGTCTTATACTCCCGCGGACTCTCCCACCCCACCGTACCCTTTCCCTTCCACAACCCCCTCCCCAGCCTCCTCGCCCTCTCCTCCGCACGCCTATACCTCCCTTCCATCACCTCCCCACCGAACTCCACCCCACTCTTCGCCTCATACACCGTTGCCAGCCCCGCCCGCAACATTTGCAAACCCACATCGCGCCGGATGAAGGGGAAGGGCCAACGGCGCACGTACACGGTGGCCACAACGCGGCCGTACTGGTCCTGTCGGTAGACGTAGGCACGCACGCGCCTGCTGAGCAGGTAGTTTGTTAGCCAGGTGTGGGCGGCGTGGGAGAAGGGTTGGGCGGGCCGGCCGAAATGGGGGAGTTCAGGGGCGTCGACGCCTGCAAGGCGAATGTGGATCTGAGAAGGGGAAGTTAATTATTATTATAAGTTTTTATAAGTTTTTATAAGTTTTTTTTTTTTTTTCCAAAAGACGAAAGAGGAGAGGAGGACTTGTTTTTCTGTATATATGTTGCATCAATGGTTGACAGAATTGGGGAGAGGAGGGGGGGGGAGGGAAGGATCGTTATTAAAAGCAGTGGAAAAACGAATGATATGGACATACAGTCCGATCTTTCAACTCCTTCTTCGACGTCGGCACTTTGCGGAAAGGCACCCACCCCCAGCCGGCTAGTCTGCCCGCCCGGGGTATGGAAC